TGCTTGGAGGACACGCTCCATGCATGTAAAATACATATTCCACGCATGTGCACAATGAATTATATCAAAATGGCCTATTTGGGGTTCCAGCACATGCACAGTCGATACCACTGCAGTGTAACATAAACATGTCACAAAAAGTTGTAGGGTACGCAGACGTCCGCACAGAGCTTTGCATTCACCCTGAAATTAAAACCTTACCTCTATTTGTAGCGGACCATGGCATACCTGCAGAAGTCCATCTATCCATCATCTATACACCGCATAATCCTCACTGCGGTCATGGGGGGGCTGGAGCCTATCCCAGCTGACTTAGGGCAAAGGCAGGGGACACCCTGGGCAGGTCTCCAGTCTATCACAGGGCTACACTAAGAGACAGACAACCAAGCACACTCACATTCACACCTATGAACAATTTAGAATCACTTTGGACTGTGTGGAGGAAGCCAGAGAACCAGAACCCGGAAAGAACCCACGCTGCATGGGGAGAACATGTGCAAACTCCATGCAGAAAGATCCCGGGTGTCCTCACAGGAAGGCGAACCGGCGATCTTCTAGCTGCGAGGCAACGATGCTAACCACCATGCCTCCTTGCAGCCCACCTGCAGAAGGGAAAAGTATAAAAACTAGCCTTAGCTATTTCACAACCAAGCGGGTCAGTGTGTTCTGTGGAGTACCACATGGATCTATACTTAGCCTTCTTCTATTGAACAATTGTCCCATTGATATGCTTTGAAAGTTTAATGAGAAAATTTATGAGGTGATGTTCCAAAAAAGATCTTTTGCTAAGACAAAGCTGGCCAGAAATGTTGTCTTGGATTTTAGTCAAAATTTTTAACATCTAGCATCAGTTACAGCATTAAAAAGTATTGATTTATGGGATTTATACTGCAGCAGGATAACTAAAGCATGTCCAAAATACAGCTTCCACATTTGTAACCAAAACAAAACAGATTCTAAAGTCCCTGTATTAACCACATTACAAGGAAGACAGAAAAAATATTTTTAAAATAGTCCAAAAATCTGCTTTCATTTTTCAGTTTATTAACAGACTGATAATGTCATTTTAATGTTTAAATTCGTTTGTTTTTTTCAATCCTTATTTATTTGTAAAGCACTTTAAACTACCATTGAGTAAAAAATACAATTGGTAATTTGCTTTGCCTTTGCCTGTTATCACAGTGATTTCCTCCATCACACCACATGCCACTGTTGTGGGTGTCTCACACTTGTACTTATGATAGTGACACTCTCAGTCTAAGGGGGGTTTAGGTGCAGATCTTATACTTCCAGTCATCCTTCCCCTCCCTCTGTTGTTTCCATTCTGTCCTCCTCCCTCCATCCTTTGCTCACTTGTTACTTTGTTCCCTTCTGAACAGCTTGACGTTAATTCCCAAAGATGTCTCCATCACAAACTTGCAGAAGTGACAGTGTCAGCTTTAAACTCTGATGTGACTCTGTGTGATTGTCTTTGTGTGAGGGTCTGACACACACAGACAGAAGCACAGGCACATGCATGAATGCACACTAAGCCGTCTGTCTTATAATTGAGCTGAAACAAATATGAACTCTTAATAAAGCAGACTACTTTGCCTCCTGCAGACAAGCAATTCTTTTTGCATGCAGTAGCAACAGCGATCCAGCGCTTTTAGAGCTGCGTCTTTAGATTGGAAGCAATGTCCATTCCAACAGGACATTTAGTTTCATGCTCATTTAAGCTTTATGAGATTACTCTAATCTTGAAAGCTCTAAAGGGATTTCTAAAAACATATTTTCTTACGTACCTTTAGTGTTATGGAACTGTTTGTCATTTGTATTTGGATAAATCTCTTCCTTGACATATTCTTATTAACCTATTTTGTTTACATACATTTTAAATTGACTCGAACAGAAAGAAATGCTGTAAAAATTACAATGTATCATAGTATTGTAAAACTAGATGTGTTTGTGTTTGTGTGCGTGTGTGTTCTGTAGTTTATTTACAGTTTGTTTTTTGATATAGACACACACACACACACACATACACATATATATAGTGAGAGAGAGAACAAAGTGAAGACAGAAAGAGGACAGGATGTATTATAGCGGGTCTATGTCAACAATGTCTCTAATAACATAAGTAAGCTTAATAGCCAAATAAAATGCATGCTATTTCTCAAATGTTGTTCAACATTTTTAAGTAACTCTTGATTCAAATAAAAGATGTTAACAGGAGTATCTTAGAGATTTGAAAGCAATGAGGTTCTGAACTATAAATAACAGACGATGGAGTAAAAATGCTGGTGTTTTGAAACTCTGTTTCACTAACGATGGAGGTGAGGGGACCTGGAAAAGACACGTTGTGACTCTTTTATTCCATATGAAGACAATATATTGACCAATAGTATTTCTAAACACACCTCAAACTTTAAATCAGAGTCTACAAAAACCTGCTCAACATCCTTGCTTGGCCTTGTGTTCGGAGTGGAGAGCCAAATTGGCTCCGGCAAGAAGGAAAGTTGGCCAGAGAGCTCCTTCTCTTGCTCCCTTGAGAATCAAAAACTAAAAATCAATAAATAAAAAAAAAAACTTCACAGCTTTGTGATTGTTGATAAAAAAAAAAAAGAAAAAGAAAAACTGTCAACTGGTGCTACATTTCCTAGCCTTTCCTTACACCAAAACACACTTGCTATAAACATGAAACGCACTAGTCTGACAAAATAAGCTTTACTCTGCATCTCAGTGAAAGGAGTTTCTCTCTTTACTTTTTTTTTTTTTGCCTCAGTTCATTTTTCGACGATGAATGTGGGATGTGATTGAAAGCAGCTAAAATAAGGCAACTTTCATGCTCATAAAATTCTGTTTTTCCAATGCAGTTTGGGCTAAATTCGCAGGAAAATCAGTGTATATTAAAACTGAAACTGAAACTGAAACTGTTCCTCAACTTCGCAACTGAATCTTAACAATGCCTGGAACCCAAAGTGTGCTTCCAGCATAGTGGTGCATTCCAACAAATACAGTTGGCTGTAAGTGAGGTTCTGGTTTGAGGTAAAGCTCATTTCTGGCAGGTGAAAAGAAATGACTGGTGGCACCATTTGTCATGGTAGTAGCACACAGCTATCTACAGCTGTCTAAAACCAAGAGTGGACAATGACTGCAGCAGAGGGAATTTGGCACTCGAATTTGGGGATAAATGCAGAAACCAAAAAAATAAATAAAATTTGCTTGAAAACAAATTGCCTGTGAAATACAAAAGCAAGAATAAGCAAGAAATTGTCCATAGATGATGGTGAAAGAGTCGCTGAAGGAGAGGTAGTGTGTCTGAGGCAAGAAAACACATTTTTTTAAAAAAAAGGGGGTGCACGAGGAGACAATAAAGCATCAGCGCGTATGTATAGAACATAGCAGGTTGACCTGGCGTGGCATGGCTCAGCATGGCACAGTATGGCAGGCTCCAATGAGGCTTCACCCACCCAGGGCTCCATCCCGCCTGAGCACAACACAATCAGGCCTCAACAGCGAAACCGACTGCAGGTTGCCATGACAACCCGGAGCCACTGCCTGCATGGGACAAAGGCTGGCAGGTCCTGTGTGTGTGCGTGATTGAGAGACAGCGAGTGAGTGATGTGTGGCAGAGCAGGCGCGGCCCTCCTGGGGCCCTCATTCGTTTGTCTCTCGCTGAGACCACAGGAGCCCTGATGCAGCAGAGATGGAGGTGGTGGTGGTGGCGGCGGAGGTTGGGGGTGAGGAAAGGGGGAGCAAGTGGAGGGGGCAAGCCAGAGAGAGGCAACTAATGTGAAAAAAAAAAAAAAAAGAAGATGATGCAGAGATGCAGGGAAAAGGTACAGAATGGGAGGGAAGAAAATAAGAAATGAAAAGAATGGCATTATAAATAGAATGAATTTCGGGGGATTTGGATTATTCTGTATCCACTTGTTCATTCATTCAACTATTAGTCATGTACAATACCGTGTAGAGCAAAACATGAATCTTGACAAAACTTGATTTAAGAAAAAAATAGACTTGCAGCTACACTCTGGCAAATTAATTGCACCAATTAGTGGGGCACTCAAAATTCACAGTTTTAATAACCTGTCTACCACACAGTAAGTTTAAATGACTTCGAACAGCACTGCTCCCATGGTTCTATGAAACGCAATAAAACGACAAGAACACTTAGGCATTACTGAACGCACAAAACATTAAAAACATGCAATCGATCCTTAAACATATTTGGTTTGAGCATGAAACGTGTTTTGGTTCCTCCTGTACACAGATAAATTCTGCTATCTAAGCGCCTTGACTGCACGAAATCTCACTCTCTTTCTTTTTCCCTCTACGCTGTGGTCACAGAATGCTACATCCTTTTAATCTTTTTGTTAATATTGTCAGACGGACAATATTACGTGAACTTTTCTCACTTGTTTACCTCAGAGGGTCACAGTAATTTGTGGTCCTGTCTATTCAGCATTCTCCCTGTATTGCTTCCCGTAGGATTATATTGTGTGTCCACCATCGTTTATTATCTACACCACCAACTGTAGAAGTCAGCACATAGACGGAAACGATCTTAAATCCAGAGATGACTCAATTGGTGTCAAAGTGCTTCATAGAAATGAGTCATAACGTGAGCCTGTGGTCTGAACATACAGTATGTACAAACTATCGCTTCAGGGCTAAAAGTGAAAACTGTGGAGAATAGTAAGCACCTGGCACTTATGTATATTGATTGATTCAGAAACTGAACTTTGATCTTATCACTGAGGCAATACGCAAAATGTGCAACAAAGTATGTATTTTCTGATTGTATTTTATTTTTATTTTGATACAAGTTGCTGGTTGTGTTTTACAAAAGCATCTAGTCATCTCATTGATTTGTTGGTGTTGTAGTTTTATTGTGTTTTCAATACAAATCGTTGACGTGGAGAAATCTCCTCTCATATATGTTTTTTAGCAGAAAAACCACATGGAAAGCTAAGTTTATTATAGCAAATCCAACTTAATTTTGCTTTGCATTTCAGGTGTCGATCACACAAACAAGGACCTGAAGAAGAACTTTGTGAGTAAACTTCAATTCAGTTTGCCTTAAATGAATCTGAACGCTATCTTGAATGGATCTCAGAGATGGTTATGGAACATTATTTATAATTTCATCGTCTTTCTACAAGATCATAGTTTGTAGTCTCACTGCTGTTGGGTTACATAAACCTATTTGGATTTTCATTCTACTGAAATCTGTGTATTGACTTTCTCTTAATTGCCTCGCTACTCTATTGCTTAAAACCCAAGACAATAAAAGTTGCACACGGTGATAAAACTGTTAGGCTGGTGTTACACTGGCTAGCCATAAAGCATATGTGAAGTGGCAGTGTTGCTCCTGCCTTGTCATTTATAATCCTATAGGCAGTTTGAAGCTTGCAGGCCAACTTGTACTTTGTCAGAGCAGATTGTCTGGCATGGATAAGCCTGGCTGCAGAGAGAGAGAGAGAGAGATACATAATTGCTCTTGTACAGTTTGCTGCCAAGACATCCTCCTCGCGTTATGCCTATATACACTGGCAAACAAGTCATTCAAACATGTTCACTTTTATGAGACACGCACATAAACCACACAACACACACAGAGGCTTCTCCTCAGTGACAGTGATTGCCGTCAGTCAGAAGAAATATGTTGACAGACTAATTCAAGTGGCCGTATCAAGAGTTTTTCACAAGATTCCTTCATTTCCTGTCATGTCACTCTGATGCTTTGTGCCGAGAGTTACGTCGTCTTACGTTGTGATCCATTTGTTTTCTGTCTGGCTGTTACAGGAGGCCCTCGCCAGTTTTGACCTGCGTGCGTCACATGGTCTGTCTCATGATCCCATGCCTGTCAGAAATCAGGAGAACAGGTAATGGCGGCTGTCCTTTTGTTGTTTTCATGGGAGACTCAATGAAAGGACTGATTTTATTCAGCCATTCCAAAATCATGCGCAAAAGTGTAAGAAATGGATTAAACAGTGTATCTGCTCCAATGTGAGATGCAAACATGTAACTGAAGCAGCAAAAACGAATCACTTCAAACTTGCTTGATTGTCAACAACTAGTGGTTCAGAATTTATGGTCACTGGTTGGAATTAAAAATCCTGCTTTTATCTACCTCTGACTGAAATCAAAGATTGTTTTAAAAATGATGAGCAACTTTGACTAGTAAAGTTGCTGTTATCATCGTAAACATGTCTGGGTTTTATGAGGTTAACTCGTAACTAAGGGTTGAACAAAGAGCAGGGAATTAGATCATCAAATGATGTTACCCAACATCAACATATAATGTCAAGGTTAAAATTTAAAATTAGATTGAAGGTTTTGAAATGTTGCTATAAATAAACAGTTGTACGTGTCTGGTATAAAGCTCAAAATTATAGTGTTTTTGGTTAGAAATCTGCAGCAAAAATGCCTTCCTTGTTTTGATTTGCAGTTTCCACTATCTTAGTGTCTCTCAATGTGTACCACTCTTATAATCAGAATGTACTGTGCATAATTATCTGTCCTGACATAATTATGGTGTGTGCTCAGGTCAAAACATCCAAAAAAAGAAAACTCTCATCTCTGCCTATTTAGTCCCAGTATGTGGCTAACAACTTATTCCCCCTCTGTTTCAGTCACGGCACCCATTGTGCAGGGGAAGTTGCCATGGAGGCCAACAACTCCTACTGTGGTGTGGGCATTGCCTTCAATGCCAGGATCGGAGGTGAGGAAAACAATACAGCCTTATAGAGACAGTGGGAGGCAGTGCATTGTGGGTGTATTGCATTGGCAAAGACTACGACATGGCATTAGAAGCATTTTCAAGAACACTCGGTTCAATGATGCATTAATATTATTATACTCTATGCACTGCATGACAGTGCAGTAAAATACAAAAAGTTTTCTACTTTGTTTATACTGTAATAAAGTGGCTGTAATCTGGATAGTGGAAGCCAAACATGAACATTGCCTTAATAAAAAACGGTATTATTTTTTCATGCAGAACACTTTATTGTGGTCGACTGCATTAAAGCAAACAGCCTGTATCTATAAAACCAACAGGCTTATAACAGATCTGCTTCACACTTACAGGGTCTTACTTACTTTATTATACAACTATTGAACAAAATATATTAATGAAACAATAAAAAAAAAATCTTATTCATGTTTGCTTGTTCAAAAACCCAAAAATTCCCACTGCAGCAGCTACTTTTTCATGCTGAGCAAAAACCTGCGTTCTACAGTTTGGTATGTCATTGCAAAGTGTGTTTAATCAAAGGGTTGATGTCATCTTTCATTTGGATGAAAATTATAATTTTATGGCTTGTTAGCTGTAAGCATTCTAAAATTTGGCAGAAAATCATAGAAAATATTTGCTCTGTGATTTGCCTTGTTTGCTGCGGTGGCAAATGGTAGCAGAAAATAGCTTCTTCAACTATACGGAAGTTTCGAGGCTTCACTAAGGATTGGAAGTCATATGTCTGTAACAAAATCTTTGAGGTGGAGTTTTGGTTGTAGGCAGTAATCAGGACGACTTCTTGAATAAGAAAGACGGAGATATAATTTGTATTTTGTACATTCGCTGTGTGTATATGGCTTTCGGTTTGTGTAAATATGACACACTACATGGTGACTGGCTGCTATTGAGCCGTGCTGACCCTCTTTAACAGCTCGTTTTTTTTCCGTGGGAGCTTCAGTAATGGCTTTTTTAGTGTTGGTTGTAACATTGGTGAGGGATGAATGAACCGAATGCACAAGATAGCCCATTTTCTCTTATGAAATCAAAGATTTTATAGGATATACTAAGAGTGCTGTAACCCCAAGTTAATGAGGAGTATATGATATGTTTGAATAAGAAAATGTCCTGCCTCACTCAGATCTGAACGCCTTAAACCCAATTTAATACAGTGATGTCATGAACGTGAAACATGGGAAGAGGAATCCTTTGGTTGAACTGTGACATTTGAACTCTGCTCTCTGATCTTTAATCCCTGACCCTCCCTCATTTGTCACAGGCTGATGAGAGTCTATTTCTGAATTGGCAAAAAGAAAAAAGAAAAAAACAGTTCATGAGGCAAGGCCAGGAATCTCTTTCCACAGTTAGTTTCAATTCTACCTTATTGGGTCTATTTTATCCTGACTCATAAACAGAGTCTGGCAGAAAGGAGATGAAGGGGCAAGACCCCACATGAAAGATGCATGTTGAACTACTGGGTGCTGTTGAGATCTGTGCTTGCTGTCTGACAGTCAGGGCTTTCGCCTCTGTGTTTTCTTCATAAATTTACTTGAAATTCGTAGTGAATTCGCCGGTCTTCTTCGATGTTTGTAAATGTATGCTAAATTATACTGAATGTATGTATGACTGTCACTCAAAATTAGCTGTATTTTTATTTGAGATACATTGTTTTGCATTGCAAACAGATAAGAGTAGACAGTTAAAGATGAAAAAGATGAATTGAATAACACCATTGAAGTGTACATTGCACAGACTTGGGCATGTTTTTCTCTACATAAACCACTTGTAGATGCAATAGTAGATGCTGAATTAACTTTGTCTTTATGCCTACTTGTATTAAATTATGCGTTTCCTTAGTTGTGCTGGAGTGTGGTGATGCCAGTGGTACTGCAGTTTTGGTCCTATGAAAGAGTGCCAGCTGCATGGTCAGCTTCTCGCCTGCTCTGACCATGTCATGGCTCTGCATACAAGGAGACACCCATAGAGGAGTCACACATTTATGATGTGATTTTCTACCAGCTGAGTGTGATCACGCAGGAAAAAAAAAGGTCTCGAACAGTTATGGCATAACGGCATAGCTGGAATAAAGAAGAACAAGTGATTCTTAGCAGCTCTGTAATCCACAGCCATCCTTTCCTTTACTCTGACTTCTCCTCACAGCCATCTGAAGGCAGCAGTTATCTGTTACATCTGCAGGCTTTAATTGGAGTGATGTTGTGCACTGTCAAGCCACAATTACACACAGCGAATCTGCTGGTTACATTTTGTGCGGCAATCTGCAGACCGCTTTACTGAAAATAACCACAGAAGCCTTTATGCACGTGTGACGTTCATTTTGATTAATTATTGTTGGCTCTTCTGTAAATCAACAGGTGTGTTAGACGCTGAGACATTGAAAGCAGTTCTCACAGTTCCATGAACAATCAGAAATTTGACATTTCAGATTAAACTTTCTCACTATGCTAACAACTTATTCAGGATGTTGGCAGCTTTCAGTCCTTCCAAAACACTGAGTAACAAGGGCAACACAGCTTTGCAGTGCTTTTTTTAGGAGGTTGGTCAAATTATGGACTTTTTAAATCATAATACAGGTAATCATGTCACGGTGATGACCAGCATGATGTGATAGAGTTCATTTGTTTGAAATCTTATTGCAGTGTACCCAGGAAACCAAAGAGTGTTATTTTAAAAATGCCATTTATTTGTGGATCATTACCAGAATTATGTCAAAATATAAAGATTAAAGAGGCAACTGTTAAATTCTTCTAAAGCTTTTTCAAAAATAAATAAATACAACTTGATTGCACTTGACTGCGATCTGTGTCGCACCGCAGGGTTCACAAAAATAGAGCCTTTTATTTCATTTTTTTCATTTTTGAAGGAAGCTGTTTTCAGCAAATAGGTCTAAAAGCTGGTCTGACACTAATTGTCAAGCACTAAACAGCAGCCAGACAAAGTTAGTGATTAACCATAGTGGTGCATTTAGCTGCTAAAAGGCAGACAAAACAACACAGCAGAACTGAGAATATAGTGACTATTGGATTTGGACATAAGATGCGAATAAATGATACTGTTTCTCTACATCTGCTGGACGTGTAAATAGCCAGCTGTTAGCTAACAGCTTTGTCACGTCAACTTAAAAGTTGTCAGTTATTGCGAGGGGTTAAATCAGTAGGTGCAGTTGAAACCACTGCAGATGATGCGCTGCGATTGCTGGTTATATAAAAACATAGCTGAGTCCATACACGATTCTCTGTTTAACCACCTCCTTCCTCTGTTTGGGCAGATTCTTTTGATTAATCTTTCAAGAAAACTTCAACAGATTTTTATTTTTTTTTTACACACTTCTTTTTACAAACGTTGTCCTGGAGTTGCCCTCGGAATCAGACCAAAACAGGCAATAGACACACTGTTGGTGTTACAGGCATCTGAAGCCCAAATCTTTCCACTTTTGACTCGTGTCTGCTCTGTCTTCATTGGTGGGGGTTTTGGTAAAAGCTGCTGTAGCCCAAAGTCCAGCCTCTTCTCAGCAGTGGACTGATAAAATGTTGCATAATGTGAAGCAATATGTACTTCCTCCCATGTATCATGTGCATACTGGGGTGGTATTTCGGCTGCCATCCTCAACTTTGATAATATAGAGTGACACCTTCTAGGCTCCTCTAAGGTGAAAGGAAAAAAATACTGAAATTTCTCTCTCTGTCGTTAACAGATTTTACATTATAGCATTGCATGGTAACACAGGCTTCTGCAGCCATAGTTATTTTGCAGGTATTGTGAGCAGCACTGGCCCTGCATTTAATGATTCGCCCACTACAAATGAGCATAATGCAATAATATTTTATATGTTTTTGTTTTTTTTAACCGTTATGCAAATTACTTTCATACACATTCACAGCAAAACTATCTAGATTCAGTTAACCTTTGATATTTTCATTGCAATGACTAGCAATGGACAGCTGCAAAGGAATATAAATATAGCAAGAGTCAGATAGCGAGACAGACAGTAAAGAAATTCACACGGTGAGAGAAAACAGAGATATAGCTAAGAAGCAGACGCAGAGACAGTCTGAGAGCAATAAAGAGGCAGACAGACACTGATAAAATAGGCAGAAATAACACCCAACAACAGTGTAACAATGAGTAACCGGCAGAGAAAAACACAGAAGACAGCTGGAACAGACTCTACTACAGTACAGGCCAGATGCTGTAAGTGTGCTTACAATATGTTTCTGATGCATTTACACCTCAAGTGTTGTGCCTCAGGTTTTTTCTGGTTTGAATGTCACATTAACTTATGCATAAATACAGAAGAGAATCTTTACTTTTCCGATTTGTGTAAATATGTCAAACTACAGCACCAGAATGCAGTATTTTTGAAAAGTATAAAAACTGTAAAGTTTTGTTGCGCTTCCCCCACAAGCCTCCCTCCAAACTCTGATCTCTGTGACCTTTTCAATGTCCAGGTATCCGCTTGTTGGATGGCTCTGTCACTGATGCCATGGAGGCCACAGCTCTGACCTTCAACATCCACTTCATCGACATCTACGTCTGCAGTTGGGGCCCGAGGGACGACGGGGCCGAGATGGACGGGCCGCACAGCCTGACAGAGCGAGCCCTCCGGCTAGGAACTCACAAGGCACAGCTTTCATCTCCAAGTTCACACTGCTGTCTGTCAGATGTAAAGCCGACAGTCACACTGTCAGTGGAGCCGAGATTGGAAGGACAAAATGTCGAGTGTTCAGATTTCATAGCCAGATTTAAATTCCCGTTTCCTTATTTATTAATAGCTTACGAAATGTACGTTCATGACACGTGGTAGGTTAGAGGGAGACTTTAGCCATTGTATTGGCCCGTTTCCCATCATATAGTTTGAGGTACTAAGTAATCACTGAGTAACTTAGTATCAGTAAGCAATCTGAGAAGCTGAATCAAAAACTTAAAGTCTCTTTTATGCAATCATGTTTGCTTTTTCAGTGCCTCTAAAGCAAAGTGGAAAAAGTCAAAATAGTCCAATGAAGGATTTAAAAAGGGACAACACTCTGTCAGACATCATTTTAGCACAGAAAAACAACAACGGAGAGTCATAGTGTTCTTCTTTGTGTTTGCTGTGAAGGAGATTGAAAATCCAGAGTGCCTGTCACCAAGGAAACGATCTATTGCGTGTTTTATGGTAACTAAATCAAAATTTATCCAGATGAATTCTAAGAATTCTCCTTATGTTGGTTTTTTAAGTTTGTTTGGAAGTTTAGGAGCATAAAGTTTAGTTTTAATGAACAGCCCAAGAAATGTCCAGCCCTTGACCTAATATTTATTCTAGTGGCACAGTGGGCCATCCTACAGTCCTACTGTTTCACTGTTTCACTTTTTTGGGCCATTAACCAAGAGACAGGAGCAAAATTTATGCACTGAGATTAACTCTGTCAACTGTGATGATTTAAGAACTATCCCTAATTATGATCAGAAGGTAAGAAGAGTTGTAGATTCTTGACTGTATAATGTTTTATTAGAGCTAAACTTTGAACTCGGTTCCACTAGTTAGGTGTAGGAAAGGTTTGTGAGTCCCTTACAGAACCCAAAACGTAAATGGGTTAAGAGGAGCACCCTACCAGTTTAGGAGTTTAGAGAACATATTGTATGTTACTGCTACATTCCCAGTTTCCAGTTCGAGTCTGAATGAGGCCATTTGTTTACAATCTTTCCACTCATGTCTGTCAAATCTCTACCTTTCTAAAAAAGAGCATAAAATTCTCCCAACCTGCTGACTGTCTGCTTTTTTAAAAATCCCAATAAAGCCTGATATTTAAGTTCTTTGTTTTCAAGATCAAGTGACGATTAGAACAAAGAAATGTATGTATTTTTTCTAGAGTTTAGTCACATAAAAACACCAAAAAGAGGAACCTAAATTAAATTAAGTTAAAATGTTGTTTTTATGTAAAAAGTATGTTAAGAAAAAGTGAATCATTCCATCTTCAAGTGACTCAAGTGACCAATAAAGAATTTGCCCAGTATCAATGCTTTGCTGAAACACTCAATAGGTTCTTGATTTTTAACACATTGCACAGTTTAATTGTCTCCCTTTTGTTCCTGGTGTAAATATATGTTGCTCATTAGTATTGGATGTCTAAAATGCTCTGCTGATCACTAAACATTCTGTAATCCACTTGTGTTCTTCGGTTTGACATCCCTCTGTTTGTGTTTTCAGGGCCGGAGTGGGAAGGGCAGCATCTTTGTGTGGGCGGCAGGTAATGGTGGAATGCAGCACGACCACTGCGGCGCAGACGGTTATGTTAACTCCATCTACAACATTGCCATCGGCGCTGTCACTCAATCCGGAAAGCCCACCTACTTTGGCGAGCCCTGTCCCGGAGTGATGGCCGTCACGCTGACAGGGGCCAGCGTAGGAGGCTCACTACCTTTGGTTAGTGTGTGTGTGTGTACCGCCTAACACATCTAACAACAGTGTTTATCATTAATGAGTGCGTATGTGTGTGTGCCAGCAGCCCTGCTCTTTGGCTCCTGCGAGCTGTGTGGAGCCTGTTAAAGAGCAGCCACTGGTGTGATATTTATAGAGGCCTGCCAAATGACCTAGGTGACTGCTGGGCACACACACATAGACACACAGAAGCAAACGAGTGTTAATTGGAGGTAAAGCGTGGTTGTAGTGGCTGAGAAAGAGAGAAAGAAGCCAAGGTGTTGATGGCGGAGGTAACACTGAAAAGCCAAGAAGAAGCGCAGCACCAGCTCCAGGGTTACAGAAACAGAAAGGCCATTTTTATAAGTGTGATATCACCTTCATCTGCTGGGGTCCCTGCCCTTTTCCACCTCACACTAGGAGGTGGGTAAACCAGACACAAGTTGTTTTTTTTAATTATCATTGCCGTAAAATTGTGTTGATGTGTTCTAATGACAGAAAGAGCTGCTGCTGATACAGTAGCTGTTACATTGTGTGAACACTGCTGGCTTTGTTGAAGAGCAGGAAAGCTTGTCTGCACCTTCCCTTTTAGTGTATACACTGATGTGACATCTATATTATATCTGATTTGGGTTTCCTCCAGGTGACTGTGACCAACATTGGTGACGGGTGTGTCACCTACTTTCCAGGAACATCCAGTGCTGCTCCGATCGCTGCAGGGATTCTGGCTCTCGCCTTAGAAGTAAAGTGAGTGTCTCTCTGTCCAATATTATGATACACCAGTAATGCTGTACCAACACCTATTGTCAGTCTGAGGGGCTTCAGTCTGTAACTTGTGGTGTTTACTTTGATTTCTTGTCATAGTTGTGATGACTATTTTTTTTGCCAGTGGCATTGTCGTGTATTATATTTTCTTATATTTAAGATGACTTGCTTATAAACTCCCTGAGTGTGTCCCACCTCACCAGCTCTGACTATATCAGAGGTCATTTTCCCATCAGCTTTTCAGTGGCTACAATATTCACTGTTAGAAAATATGATTTAATGCAGGAAAACAGATGGCAAAGCTGGTCAGTCAGTCACTTTGGTCAAAATATCTCAAAAACTATTGGATAGATTGCACTGACATTTACCATTCCTGCTGCCCTTATGGTCAATCCTAATGACTGAAGTGATTTTGCTGATCTTTCCTCTGGCACCACCAGCAGGTCAAAGTTTTCACTTGTCCAGGGAAATATCTCAACATCTACGTGATGAATTAGCACAAAATTTTGGACAGACATTCATTGTTCCCCATCGATATTTTCTCAGGACTTTGTTGACCCCTTTATTTTACCTTCAGGTCAAGTTTCCATTTGTTCAATACTAATAATGACATCGCCAACACCCTTTACTTTGTGTTAAATGCTAATTAGCAAATGTTAGCATGCTATTACACTAAACTAAGATGGTGAACACTGTAAATATTATAACTGATAAACAGCAGTGTGTAAATATTGTTACTGTGAGCATGTTAACATGCTGACATTAGCATCAAGACTAAATGTATCTATTCACAGCCTCAGAGCGCTGCAAGTGGCATTGTAGTCTTATTTCATTTTGCTTCTTTGAACATGTGCAGTTGCCAGAAAATCTGAAAAACGTAGATCCACTAGTGCTGGTCTCTGTTGTAGGTCAGTCCAGCAGATTGAATAGTCTGTTTTTCTGTTGATTGTTATTGCAATCACCAAGCAAACCTTTTTGTACAAAACTTCAAAAAATCAGAGTTTCTGGAAGTTCAGAGTTCTTGTTTATTTCATCCAGCACTACAAAAACTAAGAGTAAACCAGACAATTACTTAATTTTTCAGATTATAAAAGATTAATTTTCAGTCAACTATCTAATCATCTAATAAAGTAACTGATTATTTTGATCACAAAACCAGACATAAAAAGACAGACGAATTTTTTAACATTAAAATTCTGCACCTTGCGCCTTGAGCCTCTCCCACTTTGTTTCTCTCCATTTGTTTTTTTGTCACTCCTTCGATGTAGATCATCATTTTCTCCTACCCTTTTCTTTCCGCCTTTGTTTAAATCTGCAAATATATCTCCTCACTCTTTTTTCCTTCTCTTCCTCCTTTGTCTTGTCTGCCACTTCCTACCATTTCCCAAGCCCCCGTTTTCCTCATCGCTCTTAACTCGCCAGCTGTCGGTGTGGCCTCGGGCCTGGTGTTTTGTGGTGGTATCAGCGACGTCTACGCCTCCTTCATGTTATGGATGGTACTAGAGGCCGGCTTTACTGCTCCAGCTGTCATGCAGCAGCGTTCTCAGTCTCAGTCGCTTGGCTGTAAAATGGAGCGCGGGTCCCCTGGGCGAGGCGACTCCCAGGACATTACTGTTAAAGGCTTTGTCGTGACCCGCTGCTACTGACTAAACTATATATCACCTCTCTCACTCACACCGCCAGCATTCTGCTCACGTCTTTATGGAGCTGGGCTCGCTCTCTCTCTCTCTGTCTGTATATCTCTCTGGGTCTCTCTCGCCCTTTCTCTCTTTCTCACACTTGCTCATTCTGTGTTTCACTCTTTCACACAAACACACACATTTATATATTCTGCCATACTCTTTCTTACACATGTGAACCTGGAGTTTTTTTTTTCTTTTAACCCCATTCAGTAGAAACAGCCTACCTCTTGTGCAGCATCCACAACACCTAAGCCCTGATATATACAGACATGAGGGTGCATTTAAGAATAGCGTTAAATATAATATGAACTTTCACAGATGTTACCTGGTGACTCTAGAGACTCTCCAACAGTTTTTTTTTTCAGCAATATTATCAGATGAAACAAATTAGCCTTTGACCCATGTTAACATTCCAAAAATGAATGCCAGGAGTTCCTTTTGCCAACTTGTGATTTGTGCCAATGTATGATGCCAATAAAATGTTTATGAAATTCTATTTTGTACTTTTTCTGAATAAGCATTGAGTTCATAATTAAACATTCATATAAAGTAATATCGGGTTAAAAGAGCGGTTGAGTTTCAAGGAAAGATTAAATATCTTTAAGATTCAAGCATAATTCTTCATTATTTCAACTGGCATATTTCCTATTAATATGGCTGCTGTGTCTCTATGGGTCATGCTAACTTTGTAAGCTTCACCTCTACTGTAGAGATTTGGGGACACAAGGAGTCGCACAGCATGCAAATGGGGTGTATTGGGGCAACTAGCTAAACTGCCTGCAGCTTTCCAAAAAAAAAAAAAAAAAAACTTTCCCAAAAATCTTTTAAACGTTTGTTGTTGTTTTTCAGGGCTGCAAGGTGGCGCAGTTGGTAGCACTGTTGCCTCGCAGCAAGACGGTCACCGATTCGCGTCCCCGTGGGGGCACCGGGATCTTTCTGTGTGGAGTTTGCATGTTCTCGTGGGTTCTCTCCGGGTTCTCCAGTTTCGTCCCACACTAAAAACATGTTGAGGTTAATTGGTGATTCTAAATTGTCCGTAGGTGTGAATGTGAGTGTGCTTGGTTGTCTGTCTCTAAGTGTGGCCCTGTGATAGACTGGCGACCTGTCCAGGGTGTCCCCTGCCTTTGCCCTAAGTCAGCTGGGATAGACTTCAGCCCCCTGCGACCCTAGTGAGGATTAAGCGGCGTATAGATAATGGATGGATGTTGTTTTTGAGTCTGACTAAAATTTAACCACCTGCAGCCTGTTTTCACAAAGCAAGTTTGAAATCTCTAAATTTTGTGTTTTCAGAAAAGCTGATTTAAAGTTAGTTTAACCAACAATGAGTGAGTAATGAAATAAGCCATTATCAATTTTGATATGATTTTGTGTCATGGCAACATATGAATGCATCCAAGTGCAGACTTTGACCTTTAACAGCAGTGAAGAAAGGAGTCTGTAAGTTAATGCTGTTACATGTTATTAAGTGTAGTCCCATCATTCATCGTTGACCTGACTGGAATTTTTCTGAAAGAAAGCTAAAGCTGAAATCCTGCAAGAATATTTCTATACATTACATTTGATGCTTAAACATATTTATTTAGCTGTAACCTTTCAGGGACGTAATGCAAGTGACAGCATCTGCTGATGATGAAAGTACGAACCAAAAAAGACACAGTTTCCTTGGACCTGTGAATGTAAAGTCATAGTCAGTAGTAATCTCCGTCATGACGTGCTATGTTAGGTATGGTCCATCAGTGCAATCAATCATAATATGATAAATGGATAAATGATTATTAATTGATCATTGTGTCTAAAGCTTCATTGAATACATTTATTTAAACAGTGATTAGGCTACTACAGTAATGCATAGTAAATGCTTCAGTGTAGGAGAACCTGACAGCTGCCTTAAAGTCCACAGTGTGACAGAACGACCATGGAAAGATTTCATTCTACATGAAGGATGAATTCACAGACTTTAGAGATTACTTCCTGTGTCCGTACATCGATGACAGATTGCTCATAAAAGCCATCATGTTAAAGATAGTCCTTGCTAGGGCTGTGCAGTTAATTTTCAATCAAAATTGCAACTTGACACAATGCAAGTGGCAATTTACAACATGTGCCATGCGGCGCATCTGATCCAGATTGAAATCAAGTGTATGAATGAGGAAATGAAACACTATGTCAGCCGGCTCTCTCAGGCTCAGAAGGCAGGGAGGAGTCAGAGAGAAAATCAAAGTTTGTCAAAGAAAACCTGCCATGAGTTAGGTTAAGTTCACAGAGGTAGCTACCATTGTGACAAAGTGTGAGCTACCACTTTCTCCGGAATAGAAAACTCAGAGTTTCTTTCATCTCGAGGTTAACAAACTCATTGTTTTTATTAAAATCCACTTTCTGGAGCACAGCCTTGGAATGAGCTTTGGCAATATTATCCACACCAGTCACACCTGCACTACTGATTCACATACCACCATTTTAAAGCTTTTGCAGGTTTTCTCTTTTTGCGCATATATGCAGGGCTGCTGATAGAAAATCTTGTATGATGTGAAGGTTTTCTGCTCTGAATAGTGTTGCCTGTGTTTTCAGAATAGCCTGCAGTGTGTTTTTACCCTAACGGTGTCAGGGTGTCACTGTCTATCTGTCTCTCTGACACTATTTTGGCCTGTCTGTCTGTATTTCCATCTGTCTCCATCCATCCATCCTGACGCCTGTCCAACAAACCATCAGGGCAAATCAATTCTTCACTCATCCTGTTTGTCAGTCTTTCTGTCTCTGACTGTTTGTTTGTTCACTTTATCACCGTGTCACCCTCTCTGTCACTTTATCTCTGTTTCTCTTCATCCATTCATCAGTCTGTCTGTCCAAAAGGAGTTGAGCATTTGGCTTTGCTGTGATTCCACCACATGGTTTGCATCCACAGATGTCCACCTTTCTGTCCATGCTCTTTCAGTTAAGTTTATTTGGGTTGACTGGAAAATGGGATGTCTGCTCTCTTTCATCTATAGAGGATTGTGTTGCTCTACCTTTTTCTTTAAAATACCCCAAAGACACTCTATCGGATTTAAGCCAGGCGACGCACTTGGGCAGGTCATATTTTTCACTTTTTTCTTCTTTATAAAATGTTGTATGATTTTGGCAGCATGCTCTGGATCATTTTCATGCTGCAATATTCTTTGTCTGCCAAGCTTCTGGAGGCTGGAGACTGAAGTCATCTTGTCAGTCAGTATCCAGGTTTATCCACAGGAATTTGTGGTGCTGTCAATAAAAGTCATCTCCCCGACAACTTTTGCACACATGCAGCCCCATATCATCACATTC